GGAAGGGGAAAGAAGGCTGGTTACTTGCTTCCTCTCTTTCTTTCAAAATTTTATTTGCCCTCAAGATCTCTGCCAGATCGGATGGTGATTTCTGAGGTGTCCTTTGATGAAGTGTGCAGCTTTTAGAAAGAACTTCTGAATTTACAAACTTGAGGGGTGCTATAAACCTATGAACATGGCTGAGACAAGATAAGCATTCAATCTATTCCTACTTATTTAGTTGTTTTACCCATCTCTTATTGCAAAGTAGCCCCAGCTTCTGTCAGTTAAGAGATCTTTTCATAATTTAGGGAACACAAGGTGCAGACTTCTTCCAGTTTTAGACTCTGCAGTCAAATATTATATTTGGATTTAGATTTCTTATTCCTAATTGATTACTCTAGCATTGGTACAAGTAGATTTCTGTTTGAAGTTGACAAGTTTGATTAGATTTGTCTTTCTTTGGGGCTAAGTCTTCTTCATCCTCCAAGCTATCCTCCAACTTCCTTGACCTGGTGGTTCCCAGGACACTCCCTCCTTGTATTTTCAATGGAGGTGGTCTAAAGTTTAAGGTTATTGGGCTTATCAGTTTTGAACTGTGTACCGTATCAGATATCACAGCATCTCGTGGTTTTTGCGGACCAGATGAAATACAAACCATGAAACAAAGCAGCCCAAACTTGGCCTCTATGAAGTCGAACCGTGCACCAAGCTGAGCAACCAAAACTTGGCCTTAACACGGGCAAACAAGGAATCAAAATTGATTGAAAAGCGGGGTTCTCACCCCAGCATTCTCCTGAACAAAATGAGACCGAGCATCCCACCTCGACATACCCATGAATGAGTGCAACTGAGGTTCTGACCTTGATGCGCTCGGGACAAGGTGAAACCGTGGTTCTCACCTGGCTCTCGCCTAGACAGGTGAAACCGGGCTCCATGACTGTCCGCTGCCGGTTGTCCATTACCATCAGCCACTATTGTCCGCAACCGCTCACCTTCACTTGTGCATCGCCATCTGCCATCCATTACTACCTGCCATCATTGCCGACAATGAAAAAAAATAATTTAGTAATTTACGTAATTATCCATGCTTAATCTAGACTTGAATTAAAATTATCAAATAACATATAAAATTTAAAATATCATATAAACAGTATATTTTATCCTAATACTACCCTACATTGTCATATCTAATCGATGACAGCTTAATAATTTCAGCCGCCTAAAGGCAATTTTAAATTTGAGGCCTTCTATTTTTAATAAAATTAATATAAATTTTCATTAAAATTTATTTTTCTATCTTTTTGAGATGCAAAATTAGTAATTAAATTTTATACTTAATTTTATTCAGCATAAGAAACTTGTAAAAGTGGTCAAATTACAATCAAAATAATTGATTTTATAAAAAAATTAAAAAATACTTAATAAAATAGTTAGAAGAGTAAAGTTAAAAGATAAACCTTAAAAAGATTTAATAAAATAGATAAAATATTATTACGTGAGAGTTAAAAGAAATAGTATGGAGAGAAAAAAAAAAAGAAGTTTTAAGATAAATGATATTAAAATTAAAAAAAACTATTTAAAAATAGAAAATTTTAATTATGAAATAAATAAGAAAAAAAATTAAAAGTTATGAGGAAGTGATCGGGTAATGATTGATTAATAAATTTGGAAAATATTAATTGTCATTAATTTTTTAAAAAAAATATAATTATTTGAATTTTATTATAATAAAAAATATTATAAAGCTTAAAATTGGAGTCTAAAATATTCGGGAGTTTAAAGCAATTGTCTTACTCTTTTTTTATTTTTATTTTTTATTTGGAGTGGGGGAGAAAACTGGCCTTGTTTAATCCTACCTACCAAACGGGATTTTGTATCTAAAACCCACGAACAAAAAAATTCTATATTTAACATTTATAGCAACACGTAGGTTTTACAACTCATTATTGATTTGGTCTTTTCGAATTTGTTTAAAATTATGTTGTCCTATAAAACCTATTTTGTTCCCTACTAAGAAAAACTCTCTAAATCAAATTAAGTAAATATATTATCTTGACAAATTGGTTAGAACAAATAAGGTAAAATATACTCTATTTTTAAAAGTATTATAATAATAACATTTATCTCTTAGAGTATAAAATATTAGTTGACGTTTGACACGATAGAATGATTCTTGATGAAATGGAAATAAGAGTGGGAATGAGAATGAAATTAAGATTCTTATAAGTATGTTTTGATATATACTGATGGAATGAAGATTCCTATTCCATCATTATGTTTGGTATATAGGAATAGAGGTAGAAAAGTAAATTAAAAAAATGTTCAAGGATAAAAATACCCTATGTTGTAAGGATTTAAAAATTTTTAAAAATTAACTTTTAATATATATGAAATATATTAAAAAATTAAAAAATTAATTTTTTTATTCTAAGATTAAAATGTTAAATTCATATATTTTGTGTGTTTGTATGTATATATAATAAGTTATATATCTATAATATAAATATAATAAATTACATAATATATATAATATAGTATAATATATCATATTATACAATTTTATTATATTATATCAGATATAGAAAATATATAATTATATTATATAATTTATTATATATAATAGATATATATAACACATAATATATTAATATATAATATATAAAAATACTTATACTTTTTTATATTTATAAGATATTTTTGCCATTTATTTATAAATTAAAGGATATCATAGTAATATATTTAAATAAAGATTCCACCAAGGATGAAATCTGGATTTCATCACTCTAGTGATAGAATCTGGATTCCCTCATTTGATGGAATCCAAAATACTTACGAAACGCACTTTTTTAGGATTATCATTCTCATTCTCATTCTCTCAATAAGATTTTATCATATCATACGTCACCTTATAGTTTATTCCCTCGAGTTTATTATCATAATTAGAATCAACTAACAGAGTTAATACACTTGTTTATATAACCATAATATACATAAGCCCATACTATTTATATTTTTCATAATTTAACAAAAGTTATTTGTAAGATAATAATATTTATTGTAACAAAAAATTATAATTAATTAAAAATATATACTCTGCTAATTTTCAAAATAATAGCCATTATTGTAACAAAATAATAATAAAAAAATAAAATTAATTTCTTAGCATAAACCATTGACTATTCATAATTTAGTAAATATTGTTATAAAATGATAGCCTTCATTGTAATTAAAAACCTATAATTAATTAAAAAAATTATTCCTCAACCAATCTGTAGAATAACAGTTTTTATGCTAACAAAACAAAGAATAACAAATTTCACAAAATTAACCTTTAAACTTGCACTATCAATTATACTATTCATAATTAGCAAATATTTGTAAAATAATAGTCTTTATTTAACAAAAAATTAATAATTAATTAAAATTTATCCCTCAACTAATTTATAAAATACCAACTTTCATTATAATTAAAAAAAAAAAGAATGGCAGCAGTAATAAAATTGATTTTGTATTACAAAGATCTTCTTTTATCTTTCATGAAATTAATTTTATATTATTTTTAAGGTATTGTGGCAATTTAAGCAATCGTATTAATGTTATTGACTAATTTTAATTGTATTTCCAAAATCGATGAACAAATTATTACATTTAATACTTTAGAGAAAAAGTATTACCATTACTATACTTAAGAGGTCAATGTGTATTTTACCTAATAAATATATATTCCTACTATTTTTAGCTTAAAATTAATCCAGACCGTTCATCACCGCCATGTAGGCCGCGCGTGATGTCAACTGTCAATTTCGTTAAAAATAATTTGGGGGTGAGAAAATTCTTTGGATCCTAGTAATCCGTATTGAAAAAGAAAGGATTAGCTTATGCAAAGTCGCAATCTAGGGGCTCTAATTTTTTTTTCCTGTTGCAATTTCAAATTTTAAATCCACAGTTTAAAGTATTTTATGATTTCATAAAGGTAATAATTAACACGGCATTAAGGATTCTGTTTTAATTAAAAAAGATCCGCTTCCGAAAAGTGCACAAGTCTAAGGGGGTGTTGGACAGCTTATGGAAGTTTTTGTGCACTTTTTAAAGTCCATGAGTGCTAAAGGGTGTTTGGAATTGCTTATTTCATCTTATAATCACTTCAATTAAGTTGTAATTAATGAAAAAGTTGAAAGTACGAGAGAAGGGATACTTCTTACTTCGGTGATATTTTTATAATTAAATCAAAATTATTTTAAATTTATTTTAACTCTTTTACTCTTAAATTTTTATATTATTTTTAATATTATCTCTGAAAATAATTTATCTTTATTCAACACCACCGGACTACTGCTGCACGTGGTAGTGGCCACAAACAACCACCATACAGCCTACCATAGCAGCAGCGCTTAGACGGCTACCATGTACGACTACTATGAGTGATGCACGCAACAACTCCTAAATGGCCATTGCTTGTAGCCTATCACACACAGCAACGTCCGGGCGACCATTGCCACCTGCCGCATGTGGCAACATCAAGGGTGTTGCATGCACAACAGGTGAAGGTTTAAAAATTTTGATAAAAATTTAAATAAAAAATATATATAAGGATAAAATAGTCATTTCAATACTAAAAATTACTTTATCATCATTTTTCATCCAATTATCATTTTACCGATTTTAAAAAAAAATTATTTATTTTAGAAGTACCCAGAATTCTGATTTTATTCCCTTTTGTTTAAAACAGTCACTTCAGATTGTTTACAAACACCCTGAGAGTGGCCAATTCCAAATCAGATTTGACTCCATCGGCCTTCCCGCAACTTATACCACAAACTCGTCCGGGTTATATCCCGTCAGAATCTTCCGAAAATTCTCAACGACTTAGTTGGACTTCGCGTTTCCCGTCACCTATATGTATACGACTTCCCAACAGAGTCCTTCAAAGCCAACGACAGCTAGTGTTCTCTTCACGTTCTAAACCCCCATCTTGTTTTCCGCGGAAAAAACCTGTTTGGTAGCCGAGAAAATTCCCAATGGCCGGAATCGTGGTGGTTTTCGACTTCGATAAGACCATCATCGACCTTGACAGTGACAACTGGGTGGTCGACGAGTTGGGCGCCACCGATTTGTTCAATCAGCTCCTCCCCACCGTGCCTTGGAACGCCCTCATGGTAGTTTCCCTCTCCTTCCCCCCTCCCTCTCCTGTTTTTTCTGTTTCAACGTGTGATTATATTGTATATGTGCATACATGATTGATTTTTGTTTAATTGGGAAAGCATATTGCATTACGTTACTGTTCTTGGAGAATCAATGCAATGCTGAAGCTCTTTTTTTCTGATGAAACAGGATAGGATGATGAAGAAGCTTCATTCGCAGGGAAAAGCATTGAAGACGTAGCGGAGGTGCTGAAACGGGCTCCAATTCATCCCCGGGTTGTGCCCGCCATTAAAGCAGCCCACGCTATGGGGTACTTCCCTCGCACCGTGTTTGTGTGATTGTCTCTTACGTTTTCTTTCCTCTGTTCTTGTTTTCCCGAAATTAGTTTCATTCGAGGCGCGGCTTACAATTACAGGTGCGATCTAAGGATAGTGAGCGACGCGAATCGGTTCTTCATTGAGACGATTGTGGAGCATATCGGCATTAAGGATTGCTTCTCCGAGATCAACACGAACCCGACCCGCGTGGATGAAGAAGGCAGGCTCAGGATTTTCCCTTACATCGATTTCCATTCTTCTCCCCATGGTTGCGATCTCTGCCCTCCCAACATGTGCAAGTATCATTGTAATTTATTATCAATACTCTTTCTTTAATCTCCGGTGTCAGATTTTGAGGCTTTAGAGTTGAGTTATTTCGTTTCAGGCGCCGAAGTTTTTAATAATTCACGTCTTGTGATTTTTTTTCTTTTTACAAATCAAAAATAGGGCAAAGTCAAAAGAGAAAATATTAAAAATTTTTATTTAAAAAAATTTTATATTTATATTCATATTTATTTAAGTTAATCAAACAAAAAAATTAAAGATTACTAATAGTTATAATTTTTGTTCCATTATCAAAAGAAAAATTGAAAGTCTAAAATAGAAGCAAACCAAAATCCTCCTTAATTAGATTCCTCAATTTTGGTCGGAGAAACCCAGAAAAACCCAGACCGAATATGCTGGAATTCATATTCTTTTCTTTTCTTTTTTTTTAATTAGTGGCAAAAACACGTTTGGATAAGCTAGTCATATGTTGTCTGGTGAACAGGGTCTAATATTGGAGAGAATACAAGCTTCTGTATCTGCAGAGGGCAAGAAGAAATTCATCTATCTTGGAGATGGAAGTGGGGACTTCTGCCCAAGCCTGAAGCTAGGAGAAGGCGACTACGTCATGCCAAGGAAGAACTACCCTCTCTGGGATTTGATTTGCAAAAATCGCGATCATGTCAAGGCAGAAATTCACGAATGGAGCGACGGGGAAGAGCTGGAGCGCGTCCTCCTCCGCGTCACTAGCATGGCTTCCATGGAGGAGAGCAGCAGCGAGTTGTTCTCTGTTGACTGCAAGTTTGAGAAAGTTAATGGCTGCCCATGACGTGCTGCCTGCTCTGTCACTCCCTTCTTCCCTGTTTCATCATAGATTAGGATCCCAACAGAGGAATACTAAGTTTCTGACTCGTTGATCAACGAAAAATTTGAATCAACGTGCGATATAAAAATATTTGTATTTATGACTCTGCATGGATCATTTGCCTGGGAGGCCTGTTTGGAATTTGAACAACGTAACTTTACTAAATAATCAAGACGGTCCCCGAGAATTTGGAAATATTCAATTTGGTCCCCTAACTCAGTTTTTCTAATCTAGTACACTAACTTTACAAATGTAACAAAGTCAAGCTGCAATCTTTAGATGCTTCAGACCGGTTTAACTATCAGTAAAATATTGCATTACAGACACAATCCATCCGGTTCATTTTTTTAGTTGAATTCATTCATAAAAATTAGTAGACTATTTAGCGACGATCCATCATAGATGTAATTCAGTACATTTGGTTTTTTCTAGTTCAATTCATGTATAAGAGTAATGGTAACATAATCAAACCGATCCAACCATTAGTTTCCCGTCTAAGCTGTAACTTGGTGAACTAGTCCGCCTTATTTGGATGATAGATGATTTTAATTATGATATAAATAAGGGATAAAAATTAGGAGTTGAAAGAAAGTGATTAAGTAGTGATTGACTAATTAATTTGAATATTATTAATTGTTAATATTTTTTAAAAAAATTATAATTATTTAAATTTTATTATAATAATAAATATTATGAAATTCTAAAATTTAGGGGCCTAAAATATTTGGGCGTCTAAAACAATTGTTTTAATTGCTTTATAGTAAAGTCGGCCGTTTATGATATGATTGATTTTCACTTGTCATTTGAGATGAAAAGTCCTTGATTTTAGTAAGTAAACGTGTGATGTTCAAATTCAAATTCTACTTCCGACTCTCTAAACATATACATAAGATGATCTTCGAGCCTGTTTCTAAAATAAGTCTTCTAATCCCAACCTCCAAACTAAGTTTAAACCCTCCCAAATCCCTCTTAGCCTTTGCTAATAAAACTGAAACATCCCCAGTAATACAAGCAAAGCCTTTAGCCCAATCTCCCCTACTATCCCCTAGTAAACATCTACAGCCCACCTTCTTGAAGTTTGTCTTAAATGTCCCAGCTGTGTTGAGTTTTACCTTACCAATTCTCAGCGGCCTCCAACAATCAAAACTGATCCCCTTTCCTACATGCTCCGTCTGGAACTCGCAACACTAGGGCATGGTTTTCCAGTAACTAACTACCCACGGATGATCCTATTGGGTCTAACAAGTCTCTCAAAATGCAGGATGTGTTTTGGGCCTGATTTCGGCCTTCTTTCTGTCCCTATTGGGCCTGTTGATGTATACCTTTTCGAGGAAGTCCTGGCATGAAGTAACATGTTTTGAGCCTGTTGGTGACTGTTTTACTGAGTCAAATCTGAAGCTGACTATTTGTGCGTGTTTGTATCGTGTTCGTGTGTGTTGTTGTGTGATGTTCCAACCTTTTGTGATCATAGTGTCCTGTGCATGGGACAATCAAGAGGGCTCAAAAATGGAGAAACATCTGTGTGATTGATGATGGGCAAGAATAATTTTCCAAACAACATCAATTCAATGGCAACCAGTGGGCTTTTATGCTCTTTGATTTCACTGGGAAAGCCTGAAAAGGATGCTGCATTAACATCAACTTGGAAAGTCTCTGTTCCCATAATCTGGATTTAGTAAAAGAGGAGTTCAGCCTTTTAATCAATTTTTTTTTTTTTTTTGAATTATCTATCCTTATTAATACCGTATACAAATTAAAATAAAAATTTAAAATCATTATATTTCATTTTTTATTCCAATTGAATAAATTATTTATTTATTTTTCCATCCTTACAATCTAAACATACCCTAAGAACTCAAAAAAATTCAATGAATATTTAAAAAATAGGAGAAATTAGCATTATGCAATAACAATTTCCAATACCCAATCAAATCCTTTCTTTTCTTTTTTTGGTCTGACATGTCCCTTAGATATAGCATTTTTTTTCAACTCAATAAGTATGTTATAAGTGGTAAAATACTTTTATATCTAAGAGAAGAATATACCTTTTAAAACGGACAATCATAATACTGCAAATACATTTAGTTTTAAATTATAAAATAAATGATAAAATCTGCGAGGATCTAAAAAAAAGATGAGAGAACCTTTTGGCCTTCTCGAAGCCCAGTGGGGCACGCTTAAATTTTCTCTATGGCTGGCTTAGCACGTGAATGGAAGCCTAGGTTGACAATTTAGGATGTTTGTTTCCGAACTTGTTTGTCTATGTAAAGCATTTATGTATATTTTTATCCGAAGCTAACGTAATAAATATTGATAAACTTTTCTTATATTATTAATTTATATAACTTTTCAAGCTCACTCTGTATTAGTTTATATGTATTTTAAAACCACATCACAAAATAGGTCCTTCAATTTCAAAATTTTATATATTGAAACCCATGAAACATGAATTTTACATGTGTCTCCCGTCATTTCAATTCTAGTAAGAAGAAAGAAGGCTTTTCACGAAAGTCCTAGATGACAATAAAAATTAACGGTTGCGATTTGGTTTGTTGGAGTACATGTCATGCATACCCAATGAAGTCCTTGACAATAGCAGTAATGTAATCTTGGAAATAATTTGAAAAAACGGTTTTGGTTTTCTCAAAAAGGTTTGGCAGTGGAACCTGCTCTGAGCAATGGGCCGCCGTTGATTTTGCATGAACTTTAGAGAGGGCAAAGGATAATTATATATATATATATAATATATACACATATATGCACACACACACACACACACACATATATATATATAATATGCATAGAAAGAGAGAGAGATTCTTGCATGAAATGTTAGATAATAACGTGGTCCACATGAGAGGACAAATTAGGCAAATAGGGAGAACCTGCATCGGCCATGTTAGCTTGAATGGCAGGAAAATGACCCTTCCTCAAGTAATAGTAGGCCAATTGGAGTACCTAATTATAAAGGACACGTTTGACTTTGTCAATAGGATTGTAAAACTGTTTAAATTGAAAAAAATGTGATTTGATTTGATTTAATTCAGTACGATTTAAAAAAAAATTATATAATTTAATTTGATATTAAATATGTAAATAAATTATCTAAATTAAATTAAATCGTATAATTTATATATATATATAAATTAAAAATCATGTATATATATATAATATATTTTTATTATTTGACAGTATATTTTTTTATAATTTTTTATATTTATATTTATTTTAATAATTATTTTTTTAAGTGTGATCTCTATTAATTTAAATAAAATTCTGTAATACTGTATAAATATACCTATTATATAATATATAACTATTACACTTAATTGATAAATAATAAATTTATTAAATTAAATAAATTGAAAAAAATAAATAACTAATTTTAAGGAAAACTCTGTCAAAATATTTATAGAAGTAGTGAATTTAATTTATTTTATTCACAAATCACAAACTATAATTTAAAATTAAACTAAACTGTAAACCGTGATTCGATTTAATTTATAAAAACTATAAATTACAAAGTATAGTCTAGTTAGAATTTAAATATCAAATTAAATCACGTCGAATTATGAATATCCCTATTTAAAATAACTCATTATTAATTTAAATGATTACCAAAAAATAGTAAATAATAAAAAAATAGGTTATAATAAATAAATAGATAATAATTAGACTTTCACCAAATTCTTTATCTTAATTGTTATTTAAAACAATCCATCATTAAAAGTAATTGTTTGCTATTTTTTTAATAATTACTCATATCCAAACTTATACCTCTTCTATTTGTCAAATATTCAAAAATAATTAAAGATATTTTGCAGATATTACATCAAATGCCATAAATATTCGAGACCATTCATATTTTCATGTTGCCCATGCCATCAATTTTTGTGAAATTTATTTCATTATCAAAATATTATAATCTTTTATTAAAATTATAATTAATTCGAAATAAAAATAAAATTATTTGTGTCAAATTTGTTCTAAATAAAATTTTATCTTATTATGTCATGTTATAATTACATTTTTCTTAATAAAATTGGTTCACGTGTGTGTGAATATATATATATGTATATATATTATTTCATTTACTTGAAAATTAACGATTTAACAAATCACTGTCACGTATAAATCACGTGACTCGCACAGAAATGGTTAAATTACACTTTTATTTTTACAGCAATACCACTTTATTCTTTGAAATTTCAAATAAGGACACATTTTTAAACAGTATGACAAATATTATGAAGTGCGTGAACTCATAAAGAGATAGGGAAACGATGTCCCACCACTGTGAGGTCAATCACGCCCCCAATTTAATGCTGCCAGCACCTGTTACATAATTAAATACGACTCAGGGAGTTCATAATTAATAAATCATAATTTTCCCCATACCTTCTGCCCTACTTCTCATCGAATTCAAAGATGGAAGAATTCTTTGATTTTTCAAATTCCTTTGTCAGTTTTTTAAAGCTCTGTTTGAAAGCCCCAACTCTCAAATACATCTCTCACTGGGTTAATATCAAGGATGAAAAAGAAAAATACCATTTTACCCCAGTGGTTAAGAGACTAAAACCTTACCTAAATTCTGCAAAATGAGGGGTTTAGAAAAATAAATAAATCAATTTTATTCTTATGGGTAATTTTTAATAAATTAAAATTTATTATTTATTACCCACTTTCACTAATAAAATTAAATTTAATCAAATAACAAAATGTACTCTATTTAAATCTACTCTTAAACGAGATCTTAATTCAATTGATATAAAAAATATGATAAAATCTTATAAATATAACCAAATTTAATCATGTTTGTATGTAACTTAAAAGAAAATAAAAAGATCTCACAAAATCACATTTGGGTGCATTTTAGGTACTCAGGGTAGGGGCATTCATGTTTCGGTTTTCTCCAATTTTTTTATAAAATTATACCGTACCAGTTTATTTCAGTTTTTTTAGAG